TTGCGAGTATGGCAGTGTTGGTTGCGAGTATGGCAGTGTTGGTTGCGAGTATGGTAGTGTTGGTTGTGAGCATGGCAGTGTTGGTTGCGAGTATGGCAGTGTTGGTTGCGAGTATGGCAGTGTTGGTTGCGAGTATGGCAGTGTTGGTTGCGAGTATGGCAGTGTTGGTTGCGAGTATGGCAGTGTTGGTTGCGAGTATGGCAGTGTTGGTTGCGAGTATGGCAGTGTTGGTTGCGAGTATGGCAGTGTTGGTTGCGAGCATGGCAGTGTTGGTTGCGAGCATGGCAGTGTTGGTTGCGAGTATGGCAGTGTTGGTTGCGAGTATGGCAGTGTTGGTTGCGAGTATGGCAGTGTTGGTTGTGAGAATGGCAGTGTTGGTTGTGAGCATGGCAGTGTTGGTTGTGAGTATGGCAGTGTTGGTTGCGAGTATGGCAGTGTTGGTTGCGAGTATGGCAGTGTTGGTTGCGAGTATGGCAGTGTTGGTTGTGAGTATGGCAGTGTTGGTTGCGAGTATGGCAGTGTTGGTTGCGAGCATGGCAGTGTTGGTTGCGAGCATGGCAGTGTTGGTTGCGAGCATGGCAGTGTTGGTTGCGAGTATGGCAGTGTTGGTTGTGAGCATGGCAGTGTTGGTTGCGAGTATGGCAGTGTTGGTTGCGAGTATGGCAGTGTTGGTTGCGAGTATGGCAGTGTTGGTTGCGAGTATGGCAGTGTTGGTTGCGAGTATGGCAGTGTTGGTTGCGAGCATGGCAGTGTTGGTTGCGAGCATGGCAGTGTTGGTTGCGAGCATGGCAGTGTTGGTTGCGAGTATGGCAGTGTTGGTTGCGAGTATGGCAGTGTTGGTTGCGAGTATGGCAGTGTTGGTTGCGAGTATGGCAGTGTTGGTTGTGAGCATGGCAGTGTTGGTTGCGAGCATGGCAGTGTTGGTTGCGAGTATGGCAGTGTTGGTTGCGAGTATGGCAGTGTTGGTTGCGAGTATGGCAGTGTTGGTTGTAAGTATGGCAGTGTTGGTTGCGAGTATGGCAGTGTTGGTTGCGAGCATGGCAGTGTTGGTTGCGAGCATGGCAGTGTTGGTTGCGAGTATGGCAGTGTTGGTTGCGAGTATGGCAGTGTTGGTTGCGAGTATGGCAGTGTTGGTTGCGAGTATGGCAGTGTTGGTTGCGAGTATGGCAGTGTTGGTTGCGAGTATGGCAGTGTTGGTTGCGAGCATGGCAGTGTTGGTTGCGAGTATGGCAGTGTTGGTTGCGAGTATGGCAGTGTTGGTTGCGAGTATGGCAGTGTTGGTTGCGAGTATGGCAGTGTTGGTTGCGAGTATGGCAGTGTGGTTGCGAGTATGGCAGTGTGGTTGCGAGTATGGCAGTGTTGGTTGCGAGTATGGCAGTGTTGGTTGCGAGTATGGCAGTGTTGGTTGCGAGTATGGCAGTGTTGGTTGCGAGTATGGCAGTGTTGGTTGCGAGTATGGCAGTGTTGGTTGCGAGTATGGCAGTGTTGGTTGCGAGTATGGCAGTGTTGGTTGCGAGTATGGCAGTGTTGGTTGCGAGTATGGCAGTGTTGGTTGTGAGTATGGCAGTGTTGGTTGCGAGTATGGCAGTGTTATTTGCGAGTATGGCAGTGTTGGTTGTGAGTATGGCAGTGTTGTGTTGCTTTAAAATACAAACGGGTTTTCTTTGTCGTCAGTTTTCCGCGAAAGATGTTTTTTTGGGGATTTTTTTTATGTTTTATCAATTGGCTTATTTTATTCATTTAAAATTAGATGTTGTTGTTGTGGTTGTGTTTTACAAGCGTTTATGACAATGTTTGTATTCTAACCCCATCCCTTCGTAATGTTTTGCTGATATTTTATATTATATCTCTTTAACATATTCGATTTTGTCCCTTTTCCGCAAAGGTAATGTCGGAGGTTTCACTTATCCCCCCCCCCACCCCCCCGACGGCTTTTACTCGAATTTGAAAATACGAACGTTTTTTGGTGCGGTCGTCACAGGCGTTTGTCATATCGTTGTGTAACCGAAACTGCATTTCTCACCCACGGTTAGAGGGCTTCAAGCGTTAACATGCGGTCCTCTCATCCCCGACCCTTACAAACGTGCAAATTAAGAGGCCGCCAACTGTGACGTTTGCTGCATGGGCGTGCGTGCGTGCATTCCCTCGGTATACGTGAAACACCCAGGCGGTCCCCCGCTTTTACAACGTCACAATGCGAGTCCTGGAAACCCCGTCGTCGTAAACCGGACCCCAATTTTACCCCGCGGATGGTAGAAGCAGCGGAAACGTGACTCGCGCCGAAGCTTTGCTTTGGTTTTTGTTACTCTCATCGGCCGTATTCAACGAGGTTTTTAAATAGACGAAAATCTTCTTAGTTCTTTCGGTAAAGTCACGTAGAAGGGAAATAATAAAATAATAAAAATAAAACATAATAAAATACAATTCTCACGACGTTTCGGCCACAACGCAAGCAGCCGTCCTCAGGTGAAGAACAGGTCTGTCGGAAAGACAGCATCTGGGTCTGTCGGAAAGACAGCGTCTTCTTGGTTCTTTCGGTAAAGTCACGTAGAAGGGAAATAATAAAATAATAAAAATAAAACATAATAAAATACAATTCTCACGACGTTTCGGCCACAACGCAAGCAGCCGTCCTCAGGTGAAGAACAGGTCTGTCGGAAAGACAGCGCCTGTTTTTCACCTGAGGACGGCTGCTTGCGTTGTGGCCGAAACGTCGTGGCTGAAACGTCGTGACAATTATTTTATTATGTTTCATATTTTTTTTTTCCCTTCCACGTGACTTTACCAAAAGAACCAAGAAGATGAATCCCTGCAGTCACGAAAGCTTTAAATCGAAATTTAGACGAAAATCATTCACCAAAAAAACGCTCGAAAAAAACAAAAAGCTCCACGCCAAGCCACGTGGGAAAGCAGACGCCCCACTCGGCTCCAGTTGCATTCGCGAGTCGCGTCGGAAGACGCGTCGTTCAACCGAGCCTCTGCGTCGCAAGCCGGTCCGTGTCGGCGGCGTGATACAAACGTCTTGAACGGGGAGCGTCTAAAACCGGAGGAGGCCGCCCGTTACTCCCGATGAAATCTCCTTCATCCCCCGGTGTAGGTCGAGCCTTCAAGCACTTGAAACGATCATTCATTTTATTTCATCGCCAGTGTGTCCGTCGTGCAGCAGCAACAACACAGCCCCTTTGTAAAGGCGCTGCTGGACGAACGTGCTTACGTCCGAGAAGAAAACAATCTCCAGTCTCCTTTTTGTCAATCCACTGATAGACGAGGGCTTTTTTACGCCGCGTCGGTCCGTGGGGGTGCGGGGGAGGGGGTGTCGATTGACCATACTTCGCCACGCGGGTCAACACTGGTTGGTGAAGGTTTGGGGGGGGGGGGGTTCGGTGTCTGTGCCGCATCTTGAGATGTGGTCGCATTCAGCCGCTGTCTAAGTGTTTACCTTTTCTCTACTTTGCACTCCGATTGTGTTTTGTTTTTTACTGTCCGTCATAACGTTCTGACCCCGTGCCCCGACGGGAGATCTGCGAAAAAGAGCTTTATTGCTACGTCTTAACAAAACTTCGGTTTAATTGCCCGAAAGGGTACCAAACCTATTCTTAAGATCGTGATTTTTTTTTTGTGCGACAATTTAAAACAAGAAAAACCCCAGCACCTCGTGCAGTCGCCAGCGAGTGAAGGGGCAAGCTGGAAACGGCTCTCACTGCGAGTCGCCCACACCACATACAACGTGCACTTAGATCTCACAGAGCCGGCCAGCCGCACCGCTCGCCACCTGGCTCACGCCGCGTGCCCTCCCACACTGCATGCCTTTGAAAAGCACGTGTGTGTGTGTGGGTGTACCGTGGAGGCGGGGGGAGCGGTGGCGCAGCGGTTAGCGCAACGCGAGCAAGCGCTATCTGAACCGGCCTCGGTATCGCGCCTGGTGCCACCCCCACACCTCCCCGTCCCCAACGACCTGTGAACTCCGGTGCCTGTGGACCCCGATAACGACGGCGCTGTCCAAACCCATCCTGTGCCTCCCCCACCTCTACTTTAGCCGATCGGCTGTGTTCTTGGGAAAGAAGGACGACCGGGGGATTGGTGCTAGCCACACCTCCCCCACATACCCCCACCTATCGTGCCGGCCTTCATAGGTGCTACTCGCTAACAACACTCGCCCCAACAGTCTGTTACAGGCGACACACGGAGGGGGTGGAGGCGGGGAAGAATCTTCCGGTCATCCTCGTAGCAGCATCGAATTTTGGCTACTGATCATCGAACAAAGGCAGCGGTGACCGCATCGCGCGCTTCCAGATGTGCTTCTGCGGCCGTCTGGAACGCTCTGCCTCCTGCCGATATTAGGGAGGCGCTTTGGAGCTATGCACTTTTAAATCCCCTAGGATTGACAAACTCATTTCTTTAGAACTCCTTTTTTATTCGTTCCCCCCCCCCCCCCCACGCACCTCCGATTAACAAGTTTGGCCCACGTACATAACGGCGGTGCGACAGAAGTGTAACCGCGCGAATACGTACGTACGTACGTACGCACGCATGCACGCGCATCCTTGCGAGTGTAATAACAGCCATAGAGGGTTCACGTGGGGATTGGCTTGCCAGTCCCGCTTTGTAGCCAATAAGGGATGAGCCAGGGAGCATGGCCTCGGCGTGATCACGGCATGTTAGCAGGGGTGATTGGCCTGGCCAATCGGGGCCTCAGCAAATGGGGAGCCGGATCAGAGGCGTGGTCCCGGGATTGACAGGGAACCATCGGGAACGGTCAACGCTGTCTACGGAGGATTGGCTGGGGGGTACCACGTGACGAAGGGATTAAAAGAGAGAGGAGTCACGCGCGTACGGGGGCTCTGGGTGCCACGTGCGCGGTGGGGACTTAGCGGGAAGTCTGCCCTCTCTCCGTTGTCTGTCAGCAACGGGGAGTGTGTGAAGTGTAACTGTGGAAGTTGAAAATAAAAAGGACTGATTCCGGAAGCCGTCTCAAGAAGGTTTATTACACGAGTACTTACATGCATGGAGTGGTGCGGAGGCATGGCGGGGTTGCTGTGGACCGCGTGCACCGAAGCTGGCGCGCCCCCGCCGCCCATGGGCTGGCTGTTGGGGAGGTGCATGTACCCCGGCAGGGAGCCCGGCACTGGGCTGTGGCTGTAGTCCATGCCGCACTCAGCCTGAGCAGCAGGGAGGAGGACAAGATCACCAGGACACGTATGAAAATTCGCAGCCTTAATGACACCGCTACCTCTACCCCCGCCCTGCCCTCCTTTGCCGTTCCGACGACGTCGAGCAAGTTGCAGGGTCACATGGTGGGGGGGGGGGGGGTCCCGTTTCACCGCCCGAGTCTCGTGCACGGCGTTCGTTTTACTCGAACCGTAGCAGCGCGACCGCTCCGTCTGCGGTCGCCGGGCGCCAAGGACTGCGCCGTACGCACGTTGGCCTTTCTTTACTTCCGGAACGGAATCAGAAGAAAAACCGTACGCGTACGTCATCGGTTTGGAATGGTTAAAAGGTGCAGCCGTGCAATTGCTGTGCTCACATCACTGCTGGCAAAAATGGCCTCCACTGGAGGGTAACTCTCTAGAGAGCTCTAGAGCTCCCGTCTAGAGTGGCATTCGGCCTACTCTTTCTACTCTTTCACGCTGGCCAGACATCCATGGCAAACGTGGGAGTTCCCACACTTTTCCCCACTTTACACGCAACCTACCAACCCGATCGACCACTGGGTGGACTGACGCAGAAAGGGGGGGGGGGGGCATTTGAGAGACCTGCACCAACCCGGCGCTGCGGTGGTGAAATGTTAACGACCTCGCCTGGTTTGCACGAGGTCATGGGTTCGATCCCGACCCTGGCGCCTGCTGTAGATTTGGAATTTCCGTGTCCCTCTCCCCGTGGTCGCGTGGATTTTTCTCCGGGTCCTCCGGTTTTCCCCTCCACATCAAGAATCGACATCACACGTTTCGAATATTTGGCCGCTATAAATGTCCACGTGATGAGCCACTTTCATCGGGCTATCGCTTGTGAAAAAGAGCCGCATAGCTCAGTGGGCGTTACCTGCTAAAATAAAAAACGTGGTTTAGTTTTAGTTTAACGCATCGTCGCAGAGTTGCGACGACCAATCGCGACGGGGCAAGCGGATCGATCGCTCGCCGTGTCGTGGCCGCTGGTCCCGCGCACGCAGTCACACTTGTTTGCTCTGCATTGCGCACTTAATGCGGATTTGCGCTCGCCATCTGACCCCCCACCAACCCCCCCCCCCCCCACCTCTTTTGGCTTTGACCGGGCTGCTCGGCGCAAATGCCACAGCCGACACAAGGAGGGGGGGAGGGTCACCGAGGAGACCCCCCCCCCCGCCCCCCACGGTGGCGGCTCTTCCTCAAGCCACAGAAATAGAAAAAGAATCGCCAGTGGGATGCGGTTGTCCGTTTGGCGCGCGAGCGCCAATGTTCGTGTGAGTGCGTGCGTGGATGGTTCCGTGCGTACGTCCGCAACGGGGCTATTGCTGACGCAAAGTCCTGTGTGTGTGTGTGTTTATTTTGCCAGGTAGGGCCCACCGAGCCATGTAGCTATTTTACAGAAGCGACCTGGCTAACGCAAATGACAGCGCAAAGAAGGGCGGCTTATCGTGTGGGCATATATAGCAGTAGCCAAATACTCAGAACGTGTGATGTCGATTCTAAATGTGGAGGGGGAAAACCGGAGGAACCCCAGAGAAAAATCCACGCGACCACGGGGAGAGAGATAAAGGCAATACATGTGTGCGCCTCTAAGCGATGGACAAGGACAAACACATGCCCCGTTTCGCCCCCCCCCGTAGAATGCTGGGGTAAGAGCTGTTAGCGAGCACCCATTGAGGCTGGCATGGATGCAGGCGGCGGGCAGCGTTGGCGACGTGGCCGTGGCGCGACCTTAAATGTGTACCTGCGCACCCAGCCACCTTTGTCTCCCCACTGACGTTTACAGGTGCGCTCTCACAACGGGGAGGGGGGGGCAGTGTCACACGGCCTGGCGGGAGCTCGGCCGCTCGTACGCGAAGCTTCCCTGGCTAATACTGCACGGTGCACGACGAAACGTCGCGCTACGGTGGACGTCAAAAGTCCCCGTGACGGCGTTCGCAAGAGGAAGCCGTCGTGTGAAGGCGTCACCCTCCGATTTGTCCAATTTGGTCAATTTGGAAATGTCCCGTAAATGACTCAAGTGGGACTCCACATCGGCCCCTTTACTGGCAGACTAATACCCTCCCCCTCCTGGGGTCACTCTCGCGAATGAGACTCTTGAGTTCTCATCTGGCTCAACAGTCAACCTAAGTGGAGGAGGAGAGGTACTGAGTGGTGGTGCAACGGTTAGCACACTGCGCGACGAGCCCACTCGACCTGAATTTGATTCTCCGCCACGGCTGACGTCATTGACGGAGCGATATCCGAACCGGTCCCGAGTGCCCCCTCAATGAACCCCCCCGCTGACCAGTGTGGTGAAGTATGGTGAAACGACCACCAGTGTGGCGAGGGCCTCATCCAGCAGTGGACTGGCTGTACAACCAAAGGAGAAGTCCGGGATTGTTTCCGATCTTACCCATGACCAGGAATTGAACCCTCGGTTTCACAGCCCCCGGGGGGTTCACGGCACAGCGCGTGAAATCGCGATGTTACCACTCCCCCACACCCACACGATACGCACGGACGTGCCCGTATCTACGTTTACCGGGCAGACGTATCGACGCGCAGACGTTAGAATTGAACGCTGGAGGGGGGGGGGGGAGAGAACGCGAGCAGCTGAGAAGCCCCTCCAACTGGGGTCCAAGTCCACAGCTACGGACCGCAACGGTGGGAAATTGCAGAGGAGGTGACGCAGGCAGACGCATTACAACGATCGCACGTGAACTCGAACAGAATAACATTGGGGGGGGGGGGTGGGGAAACGATAGCGGCAATAGTTGAAAGTCACATGAAGAGAGGTGGATGCATTACACTTGTACACTCACAGTTGCAAATCAAGCACATTCACACAACACCGCATGATACGTACACACACGCACACGAGCGCGTGGGGGGGGGGGGGGCGCAAGCAGAGTATTTACATTTCTCCGTCATTTCTCGTAATTGTATTGGGCTACCTATATATACAGCTGCACGTATGTATGCAGGGCATTACTTATTTATTTCCTGTGTATGTTGAAGTTCTTTCGCACCGTACGTAGCCAACCGCGCTAATCGGAGGTTGGGGGGGGGGGGACAACAAACTAAACACAAAAATCTGTGCTAAAGAAACGAGTTCGTCAATCTAGATGATGATTTAAAAGCGCACAGCTCCGGTGTCTTCCTAATATCGCAAGGAGGAAGAGGGCGTTCCAGACGGCCCCAGAAGCGCGTCTGAAAGCGCCGCGCGATGAGGTGACCGCCGCCTCTGTTGGAAGGCGAGCAGCCGAAAGCCCCCGCCGTTGCTCCCGCTGCGAGGATTGGCATGACGGCCTGTGCTCCCTGACGAGACCAACAAGGCAGTGCGCTCCATTCGTGGCAAGTGCTTTTTGTGCGTAACGAGTGCCGTAAACAAAACCGTCAACTTGGGCGGTACATTAAGTGGCACGAGTCGGTGCCAGGAGGTGCTACAATTGGACAACCGTACAATTCTTCACGAACTGCTGCTGCTGCTGCTGGGAGGTTGTTGTTGTTTTCATAAGGCACACAGGGCCCCCACCACCCGAGTGCTTCAGTCGTCCCCGCGTGCAGTGCCTCAATAGTGGGACACCCCCCAGACGATGACGGAAGGCTTCGCACATCACAGGGCCCACACATTCCGCAGCAGCCCCAGCTGTCAAGAGTACAGCAGCGCCGACCGAGTTCAACGATGACAAAGATCCCTTTCCGCCCGTGGAGCCTCAACAGATCGTTGGGGCAAGTGCCGTTAAGCGAGCAGCACCCTACGGAGGTCGGCACGGCGCACGAGAGGGTCGGTGGGCGGAACCACGCCCGGCCGCCTTTATCCCCCCCCCCCCACACCGCACCCAGTACCGGTGCAGATAATTTATCAATCGTCACTGGCATTGACCGCGAGCGGGAATCGAACCCGAGTGGCCGGGTTCGTTGCTCAGTGCAGGGCTAACCGCTAAACTACCGCTCCCCGCTGTTCCTGTTTCAGAATATATCAGAATTAATATATTTATTTATACTGTTTATTGTACCGAGTACAAAAAAAAAGACAAAGAAACCAACGATCGCCAGCCCACAAGCGAGCGAGCGAGCTCCTGACCGGTTCAGACATTAGTCACGAAGCAGCTCACCAGGTCATATTCTACGCTAACCAACACAACGTGCTAACCACTGCACCCATCTACACTTAGTTTTATTTAGAAATAATCTTGTCAAATTGTACTACAAGAGGCAAAGCGATCTCCTGCTCGAATAAGCAGCGAGGCATCGGTGCTCACCTTGAGCGTATCCGTAAGGCAACCCACTGTTGGTTTCGCCACAAAGTGGTGCCGGTTTTACCCGACCTCCGGAGGAATGATAGGCTGAGTGAACTCCGCTAACCTTTCTTCCCATTGCTCTCATTGGAACTCGTTTTGCCAATGAAGCCACCGTCGCCAGCTTCATGAATGACGCTTTGGTAACATCACCTGCTCACGCAGTCGAGACAATCGTGAACGAGTGATGCCAAATCCTAATACTGTAACGTTCTCAAAAGGGGGCTAAACGAGCAAAAACATTTTTGGCACAAATACAAATCGGGTCTATGCTCATTAGCTTTCAAAATTCTAAAATAAAAACCACGGCGCGGAGATTCGCCAATTGGTTTCACTCACGGACTGGGGGGGGAGGGGCAGCCTCACTAAGCCTGGAGCTCCCCAGCGCTGCTCCGAGTCTCGTGCCCTACACGAGTCCCGTCGTCTTCAGCAGCAGCGGCAGGAGTGGACCGAGTAATTCGCCTCGCGTGGAGTGTGACGCTGAAGCCGATTGAAAACGCACGAAGCACGCTCTCGCCTACCAGTAACATGTCTGGGAACACATACGCCTACATAGGTGCATGCATGCATATCCTCGACACTCACGCGGATACGAGCAAGGTCATCATCATGCATCATCAGCAGTACTGGTGGTGGACCGAGTAATTCGCCTCCTCCTGTGGAGTGTGACGCCGACAGAGATCACACCGGCCGGTCCCAGCTGTGACTGTGCGT